TTCTAGATGAAGATAAAGTATGTTAAATAATATAAAATTTTTATAGATTTATCTGCTAAAGTCTCCAATGAAATTTAATATTGATGGACAACTACTCCAGTGACAATAATTTTTTATTATTATTTAAAGTTGTTCAATTTTTTAGTCAAATTTAATGTTGTATACATGATGCTTAATTTGATAATTATTATTTTAAATTGGAGGATATTTTAGATTGAATTTTGTTTTTAAATTGGAGTTTTTTTGTTTTAAAAAAATTAGGTGGGTTGGCCCACCAACTCATGGTAGGTCAAGTCGAGCTAGAAAATTTTAGGCATTAACGCAGGTGGATCAGGATGGGCCATCCCACTTATAAAGTGGGTTGAGGTGGATCAGGTCAAATGGGTTGGACTGACCCATTTTGACAACCCTACTTTAGGATTTAGGGTTTAGGGTTTGATTCAATTTTGAGATAACCAATAAATTTTGATTGGTTTGGATTAGATTTACAATTTTTTTCTTGTTATTCGAATCAAACCAAGCTAATCAACAACAAATTGGTTTGATTCAGATTAATCAATTTTCTTATAAAAAAAAAAGGTTAAAGCATTTCTATTTGTTAAAAAAAAGGTTAAAACATGACTTCATCCCAAAACTTAAATATAATCATGTTATTAAAAGAATATATATGATATTTGAGTTTAAATAAAAGAGTAATGTACAAAAATATATAATTAAAGTAGTCTAATATAGTAGAACAATGGGTATTGGATAAGACAGTATTGGTGAGTGAGAGAGGGGATGCAACATATAACACTATGTATGTTAAGTGTGTGGTAGAATGAATTGTGTAATTTGTGTTAAAGTGACGTTAGTTATAGCATGTGCACCTGTGAGAGACAAAGTGTCAAGTAAGTTGTGTTAATATGTTACTAATTAATAATAATACAATTATAAAATAAAAATAATTAATTGATTTGGTTCTTGGATCATTGGATTTGTAAAATGCAAATCCATCATTCTAATTGATTAAGGTTGAATTCATTTAGTTTGAATCGAATTTTATTCAATAAAAAAACAAATTAATTTAATTAATTTGGTTCAGATCATAGATTTTATCAAGTTATCCAAACAGACACATACCTCTGTTTATTTTTCTATTTGATTATTTCATCATTAGGCACAAATTTAAAATAGCAACAACAAAATGTAAAAACACAATTAATTCCCTAAACACAACATATCGAATTCAATTTCATGTCATAAATTCTCATGAAACATCAAGAAAGTCATTCATAGCACAGAACACTCAATAATTCAACCATATAGCATTCAACAATCATACAATATAAGTGCTTTGGAGTGTGTTTGTAACTCATCTAAAAGACATGCAGGTAAAAACTTAAGGGGTTTAGAAACAACATCTACTACCCACAATTTGATCCATGCCTATGAGCAGGATAACTCATTCTTCCTTACCTAGAAAGCGATCTCATGAAGGCAAGAGAGCAACAAGGTGATCATCAATTTGAGAGTTTAGTTCCTTAACAAGCATTTCTGACAACCTAAGTGTTCTAAAGTGACAAGTAAAAATAATAGACAATTATTATTTTTTGTCTAAACACGTACCCTCCACTAAAGGTAATTCTGTTTGAGTAGGTAGAATTACTGTAGGTAGCAAAGCCCTCTCTCTGAATATTTAACAGAACTACCTAACAAGGACTCAAACTTAAGACCATTGGTTAAGTTGAAACAACTAATTACCAATTGATCCATATGTTTGTTGAATAGAGAACATTAGATTTAACATTAAAAACTCTTTTTAAATGACTTAAAAGACTTATTGGACTGACGAGGAAAATAGCCCAAAAGTTTAAAACTTATTTTATTTTCCTTAAAAGTATATTTTATTCTTTTAAAACTCTTATTTAATTATGAAACTAATTTATACAACCTATTATTCCCCAAGATATTTTTATTTAGTTAAATTCCTATTTTATTCTATTTATGAAAATTTTAGTTTTTCATATTTCAATTGTGCAAATAAGGTCTTTCATGTAGGCATGACAAGTAAATCCAAACTTGAGGAAATCCATTTGATCTCAATCGAACTTTGATGGAGAAAACGCACTTTAACCAAGTTAAGGTTTAAGCTTTTTTCAACCTTAGATAATTGCCTAAATTTCTTTACTGTGATGGCTCTTGAAGTGGTCAAGGTCACTACAAAATGTAATTTAAAATATCGCTAAAATAACATGTTAGATCAAAAGACGATTTTGGATCTTTTATGGTATAAGTTTCAATGTTAACAAATTTAGACATTTTTCAAAGAAAAGTTTTTAGATCATATTATAAGATGAGTTAGAATAAGATGATTGGTTATAACGACGTGTAATCTCTCAGATAAACCACTTCATTTGTAAGATGAATACATTTAATATATATTATTTATGATGTCCGATAACCAAATAATGTTTGTCTATATTATTCCTTAATATATTTAAAGGAATAAAAACTTTGTGTTGTTGCTTAAAGTCCAAAGAGACCTTGTTGTAAAGAATACTTGACAGTTGAAACCTGGAGAGACTTTGTTGTGAAAGAATACCTAGTTGTTAAAGTTTAGAGAAACTTTGTTATTCAAATAATACTTGGGTAGTTGTTTGAAGAGATAAATTAAAAAATATTTAGGTTGAGCTAGAAGTGACTTTTGAAAGAATACTTATATCTTTGTAAAAAAAAATATTGAAACTTGATCAGGTTGATCAAGAATTGGACATAGTGTTGGTGGTTGAGACGAATCAGCATAAAAACACTATGTTATTTGTTCTTAACTCTTTGTTTGGATTTTAATACTACTTCATTGTTTCGAAAAAGTGTTAAGTTTTGATTGACATTATTCAATCTTTTTCTAGTGTCTTTTTTTTCTCTCCACATAACACTATTGCAATATTTAAAGAACCAAAATTATAATCAAGTCAAAACAAAAACATATAAGATAATACTAATAAAATTTAAATACAAGTTTTCTAGAAATCAATCACCATCTTGTAAGTTCTAAATTTCATTTTTAAAAATTGAAATCCCAAAAACAATGCTTCAAAAAATCCATAATGTCTTTTATTTATAGTTTTTTTTAACTATATTATTAGAACGAAATATTTAGCGACTTAATTGATAACCAATTTTAATTAAAAAAAAATTTAATTAACAACATTTAGTAAAATCTCTCCTCTCAACCACAATTTTTTTTTTTTTTTGTATTTATCATCTGAGTTGTTAATATTACTATCCAACCCATTATTTGATATGATACAACCGCTTCAAAAAAAAAAAAAAAAACTTTACAACATGGTTTCAAAGTGGTCAAGGCCACAATGCCGCTGTTGCGGTGTTATTTAAAATCTTACTAAAATAACATACTTATAATATTTAAAAACTAAAATTGTAATTAAATAAAAAACATAAAAAAAATACTAACAAAAATATAAATTTATTGTGAATCAATCATTATGAATTTCATTTTTAATTTGAAATCCCAAAAGCAGTCCTTAAAAAAATTGTCCGAAAGGACTTTTTTGTTTTGTTTTTAATCAACACATAGTGTTATATATTATCTTGTTTGCTACAATTTCTATCTTAAAAAATATTAACAACACATTCTTTTTAATCGATTGTAGTTTATTAAAAAATACAAATTTTGATGGGTCTTACATTTTATTTAATATTTATCTCTTCTAATTTTATAGTTTTAAATAAATTCTACAAATAAATATGAGTTTGTTAAGATGAGTGTGTTAATCAAAGAGTATATTGCTAGTATTTTTCTTTCTATCCCACCCATTATATGTTACTACCATATTTCAAACTTTTTAAAATTATTTATTAGATTAAAAAATTCCAATAAATTTAAAACTCTAATGTTTAAAATATATATATATATATATATATATATATATATATATAATATAAAAGAGAGAAGAAACAATAAATTTTTAAACTTTTATGAAGATTAGGTTTCGATCCATTAGTGAAATAATAATTAAAGATAAGAGTGAGTTTGCATAAAACTTTAGATCCAAACTTTAATGTCATTATTATATTAAAACTAAAAAACAATATTTTTGATTCACTAAGCACAACCTTATTTTCATTTTTATCTGATTACACAATGCCTAATTAATAAAATAAAAAGTTGACTTCAAAAATCCCTATACATAAAAGTCCAACTTTAAAATAATTTACTAATATGAAAATTCTAATACTGGTAAGAAAAGTTGACTATCAAAATCATTTAACATAAGTGGAAATTCTAATACAGGTAATGCTTCAAATTTAAGTTTTATAAAAAATTAAAAAAATCGCACCATCCAAAAAGTTAATTTATGTTTGGGCAAGCATTTAAGAAATTATCCTATGTTTAAAACAGTTTTATCATTCTATTTTTTTTATTATATAGAATGAATACTTATTTAATTTTCAATAAACATAGACCGAATATATACTCTCTCTTTTTACGATCAAAAAATATACTCTCTCTCTCTCTTTTAAATAAAGACCGAATATATACTAATCCAAATGCATATGCATAACGCACGCGTCTTTTACTGAATAAAGTATTTTAGTTAACCGTGTTTAGATAGTTGATTAGAAGCTAAATGATAAATCCAAACACAAGATTCGTTTATTTTAGAGTTAGATAAAGCTGATTTTAACAAGATTAATTTTTATTTTATCAAAACAAAGCTAAAATATATATTTAAATGAAATAAAATTGAGCATGAGGCGAGGACAAATTAACACGGCAAAACATGAAAAGAGGCTGATTAAATGCAATCCTGATAAATAAGTTGTGCACAATGTCATGCTTAAAAGGGGAAAAAAATTAAAGTTCAATAAAGCGGGGGTAATTCCGTCATTTAACAGGGTTTGGTTTTTTCGTAATAAACGGAACTTCTGAAGGGTTAATAAGCAGAAGCAGTGCTATAAATATCGAAGCCCCTCATCCGCAGCGCATTCTCTTCTTCTCGCATTTTTTGCTTTCGTTCTCTCTCTCTCTCTCTCTCTCTTCGTCGCTATTCTCTTCTCTCTCTCTCTTTCTTTCAATCTCTTTGATTTTTATTTTTTTTTAATTTTTGTTAAATCTTCAAAAATTGCCAGATTCCGGCCACACCTTTTCTCCGGTCCCCCTCCTGTCACATCGTCGGCGCCATAGCGTGCCCCATCCGTTTGGTGTGAATTTACTATTTTACCCTTTTATTTTTTTTTCTTCCTATTTTGCCCTCGTAGTTTTTCAGCCGAAGATAAGATAATTACCGTTGTTTTTTTGGAAAGAAAAAAAAGTATTTGTGTAGAGTTTGGTTTTGGAGGGTGGTTTAGTAGTGACGTGGCATGCGGACAGAGAGCCATGAATACCAAAACGATGCGTCTCCCCCCTCGTCGCGTCTTGACACCTAGTGCCACTACCAATAAGCGCAAAGAGAGAGATGACCCGTTTGACAGGCCCAAGCCCATACCCGCTCCACCCAAACTACTGAAGCCGGATAGGCCCGGCTCCGAGCCCATCTCGGCCAACAACAACAACAGCAAGTCCAAGGCCGGCTTGGACTGGAAGCCCTCCAATCAACTGCTAGCGGGCTACCTGGCCCACGAGTTCCTCACTCGGGGGACCCTACTGGGGCAGCCGTGGGCCCCACCGAAGGGGAAGTCATCGGAGGAGAGCGGCGGCGAGGAAGGCGAGGCGGCGGCGACACCCTGCCGGAAAAGCGAAGAGGAGCGGGAAAGGTACGCCGAAGTGGCGGGCTTGTTGAAGGGTGGTGGGACCCAGCTACCCGGCGTGGTTAACCCCACCCAACTCGCCCGTTTCTTGCACTTGTGATCTAACACAACTGGGAGAGACTCCTTTGGGGACACGTGGGACCCTCCCATTCGCTGTGAAATTTCTCCCCCTTTTATCTTTTTTTTTTTTTTCCTTTCTTAATTTTGAGACACAAGCAAAATTTTCTGATGCATGCAACTTGTATGTATGTATGTCATCCCTCTTCATGTATCCATTCTCATGCCAAATACATGCTTTTCCTTTCAACATTTTTCATTCCTTTGTGGTTTTTTTATGCTCTCTTTTCTGAACAAATCTACATGTTTATCTAATTCCTTGCCTTTTGCTTGTTTATTTTCTGCAATTCTTCTTCATCTCTCTCCTTTCATTACATTATTGTTACAAGTAGAATTAATTAGTCTCTGTTTAACGAAATCGATTCGAGTAACGCGCGTGCCACATTTTTAACGACATTATGATAATAATATTAAAGAGAAATAGTATGTATCCTTATGTGCTATGATGGAGTTTCAGTTATAGCAGAAAAACTGTGTCACTTCAAAGCGTTTGTGTTATTAATTCTCGCATACACGGAATCTGATGCCAGAATCGTAAGGATATATCATATATATGTATACGCATGTTTTTATTATACCCCTTTTTCAGATTTTGTGTTTGTGGTTTATATAAATAAATATATATTTGGGTAAAGTATAATGTAGTGTGATGTGGGGATATCCCAACAATTCAAGGTTAGTGGTGGCTTTACAGCATTGAGAATTTCAAGGTTTGCAATGTTTATTAGGCTTGCTTGCACTTGTCGAATTCCAAGTGCTTTATCTGTTAAGCTCTCGAAATTTTCTTGTCTGGTGCTGATACATGTGTCTCTGCATCTGACACTGATCGATCATGGTAAAATGGATAAATAAATAACTATTGCTGTCACATACCCATTTTTATTTTTTTACGTAACTGAATTTGTTCTGTATATATGGCCAGATTCGAGTTTTTGATTTTGGATATATATCAACCAAATAATCGGGTTGAATTGTAAATTAAAGCACTTCTTTTCTTATTATTGTAAAATCTAAGCTGGCTTGTAAAATCAGTTCTAAAATTACTTTTCTAATTCAAAGCCTTTAAAATATTTTTTAACTTGAAATTTGTTCTTATATTATAGTTCGGATAGATTAAACAGTACATTTTTCGCAACCTTGGAGAGATAAGGGTGCTTTCATGTGATCTTGTATTGGTTGTTATTAGATTTTCTGTGTAATTTATGTTGTGAATCAATTAAAAAGTATTTATGATTTTTAATATATTTATTATAAAAGTTAAGATTTATCATTTTTATTAGAGGTGGTCACACATCTGGGACAATCTGAAAAATTGATGAATCGAAATTTGGATTTGATTCAAAACGAATCGAAAAAATGCAATTCAATAAGTTCATATTAGATTATGAATTGTTGTGTTCAAATTTCAATCTAATCCAATCAAACTGATAAATTATATATATATAGGAGATATCTGTATATTTTAGGAAAAAGTCTATCTAAACTTATTCCGTTCAATAATTCATGTTTTATATTAAATCTCAACGATTCAACCGTTGAATTTAAAGTTCTTAATATACAAATTAAATTTGTCAAATTTTAAAAAATTTGAAAATTATTTGATATTTCGTTTCATTAATATAAATTAATAGATAATCATAAAAAACATGTTATCCGTCAATTTAAATTAATGAAACGAAATATTAAATGATTTTTAAATTTTTTAAAATTTGACAAATTTAATTTGTATATTAAGAACTTTAAATTCAACGGTTAGATCATTGAGATTTGATATAGAACATAAGTTATTGAAGAGTATCTTCACCTAAACTTAATCCTAGTATAACCGGATCCCTCCTCATATATATATAGAGAGCATAGTTTTAAAAACCGGACCGGTCATTGAACCGGTTAAGGTACTGGGTCAGTAGGTCAAAGATTGAACCGGTGATTTTTATTAAAAAATATTCATATTAAATATATTTTATACTTATAAATTTTAATAAATTCATATCTTATTTTAAATTTCAATTTTTCTATCTTATTTAAAATTATTTTTATTTTTATTTTGTAAAAAAATACATAAAAAAATTACATGTTAAACGGTATATTAATACAAATTAAAAATATAAATAATATGTACATATATAATATGCTTGCAATTAATATCACAAAATAATATATGTAATATTTACATAGATATTGCATTATTAAATATATAATTTAAAATTAATAATATACTATAAAAGTTATTTAAGTTGTATATATTGCAAACAAATATATTAGAACAAGTAGTCATTGTTATATTTAATAAGACTCCTTGCTTTTTCATTAAGAGATTCAATTTTCATTATTATTTTTGTGATTTATGGTCTCTTAAAAAAATTTAAAAAAAAAAAGAAAAAAAAGTGGTTGAACCGGTTTGACCCACCGGTTCACCGGTTGAACCAGAAAATTGACCAGTTCAATCCGATTTGAAACGGGTCGACTGCATAACCAATCCAACTTCAGATTCGAACTTGCTGGACCACCGGTTCCCGGTCCAACCGGCCGGGTCGGTCCGGGTTTTAAAACACTAATAGAGAGAGAGAGAATTTATCAGTTAAAAAAGTTTTAGAGTTAGGACTTAATGTTTATGTATCAGTTAAAAAAGTTTTAGAGTTAGGACTTAATGTTTATCTAAATTAATTTTTATATATTAAATGTAACAAGTCACAAAAAAAAAAAAGAAATAAATAAACATGATTTTTTTTTGGTTCGTCCCTGGAGTATCCAGGAGGCACCTCAAATGGTGGGATAGTTGGCCCCAAGATTTAACGCGGCTGCATACACAAGGCAGGATTCGAACCCCTGACCTTGCTTAAGCGTGGATCAACCCCTACCGCTAAACCACATGCTTGGGGTTTAAACATGATTTATACTTACGACTATCTAGTGCAAAAATATTTTTAGGGGATCATTTTTGGGCAAGAGTGTTTGTAGAAATTTTTTCAACTTCTTATCTAAATTAATTTTTTATTTATCATATTTATTAATGAAATAAAATTTAATATATTAAAATAAATTATTAATAATTAAAAATAATTTTTGATGCAATATAAATTATTTATTTTAAATCTTAAATATATATTATATATTCAAGTCCAATATTTACTTGTATATATGATTTATTGTAAATTTTAGTTATATAATAAACATATAATTTGTAAATTGTAAAATATCATGCTAAAATACTAATTTTTCATTCATTCTTAATATTATAACACTTCAATCAATATTTCATAATTTATACAGTTATATAGATCTATACTTTTATTCCCCTCAATTTGATAGAGCTAAAAGTTTATATATATTATTCATATTACATGAGAATGAATATAACATAAATTTGGTCATTCGATTCAAATCAATCTAATTATAATCAGATTGATTTGATTTAGATTATAATTCTTTTTATAAGTTCAATTTAATTAAATTTAATTAAATTAAAGAAGAAGAAAAAAACATCACAAATCTAATTCAAATCATATGTGCCTACACCTATTTTCTATCGAATAATTATATGAAAAATGTATTTACTATTTTTCACTTTGTATATATGACATAATTCTAAGGGTTTAATGTTAAGGAGATTTGTTTGTATTAATTAAAGTTTTTTCATAATCTTGATACGTATAAATTTTATATATTAATTATTATCTTTATCGTATTAATTGAAGAATTACAAATATTTTTAATAAAAGTATAATATTTATTGTTATTGATTAATACATTGAATTTTTAATAAATATTTACTTTACTATTATCTATTTTAAATCATTGACAATGTTTTTTTAAAATCACTTGACTATTATCTTTTAAGTAATAGGCATAAAACTTATTTTAAATTCACTTTATTATTATTATTATTAAAGTTATATACCATGCGATTATTAAAGGTTTAAAAAATTCTATTTTTATTTGTTCGGATAATATTTGAATTCAATTTTTAATGGAAATAATTTTTGGATAGATTATATTCTTTTCGATTGAATCAGATTATTCTAAAACGAAACCTTAGGAAATTGATATTAAAGAAAAAAAAATATTTTTAAGAGAATATTTTTAATTCTCAAAATAATATAATTTTTATTGACTAAATTGTATATTTGACCTCATTATAATATTTTATTTATAATTTTGGTCTCTAAATAATTAATTTTGAAAATTTAGTGTAACATACTAAGTTGGTTCAGAGTTTAATGGATGCTAGAGGGAAGAGTATATAAGGTTTTTTTTTAAAACAGAGCCTCATAAACTCATTCTCAAAGGAATTCTATAAAGAAGTTTTAGAGAGAAGGGCTCTGAATCTATGAACTCATTTTCTCCCAAATTTCTCTGTTTGATTTTTCTTCTTTTCTAGATCACTAATCCCTTCTATCTTTTCTTGAATTTCAGGTTAAGAAGCTTGTTTTTGGAGGATTAAAGTCCGCGGGTTGAGCTTCGGGAGGAATTTCTTCTTCTTCTTCTTCTTCTTCTTCTCATTTCTTGGCTGTTCTGAGCCAATTTTCAGGTAAGGGAAGTTAGAATGTAGGTTATTTGGTTGCATGTGAGTTTAGAAACTCAATTGATGCATGAGTTTTGAGAATCAATGGTTTAACTAAAAAATTTGCTCAGTTCAGGGTTTTGGACAAAATGAGATTTTTGGTGATTTTGATGCATCAGGTGAATGCATGTTGAATCTAAGATTGTTTTCGAATTGTATGGAGTCTATGTATTGTGTTTCTTGGATTACATGTGGTTAGATCTTCTGATTTTCAGGTTTTGATGGAATTTTTTTTTAAGTTTTGGAGGTTGCTGTATGAATTTGCGTCAGGCGCGTGTTCTTGGCGCCGAGCGTGTATTCAGTAGAGACAACCATTTCTTAATCACATCGGGCGCAAGGTTAGTCACGCTAGGCATGGTTTGAGATGGGAGCCTCTAGATGACTTGCGTCGGGTGTGAGGAGAGCCACGCCGGGCGCAATATCAAATATTGACTCTGTATGGAATTTACTGATATGGCACCAGGCGTAGGGTGGGGTGGTTTTGGTAGGATGAGATGTCATTTATACTACTTTGTGGTTAGGGAGATCTCCTAGGTAAATGAGTGACGACGCATTAGATGATTGATATACATTGATATCTGTCATGAGTTGCATTTATTGCATGATTGCTATTATGATGAAGTGTATGGTGTTTGACTTCATGATTGATAAGTTGATGATTGATTGAGAAGGAAGTCCCTTGGGACATGATTAGATGATTGATATGCATAA